AGGAATCACTGAACCCATCAAAACTTCATCTGAATGTTCTCTAGGTTGTCCATCTGGAATTTGCCCTGCTGAGTGCAATACCCTCAAATTCTTTAGTGGAACCTTTCTTCTACCTAACCCTCACACTGCACGACTTCAGATGAGTCCCTGACATTCTACCAAGGTAGGAGATAGAATTCAGCTGTGAATTCCATAAAACTTCTGTCAATTTGTTTTCTGTGTCCCTAACATTAGTTAGCTGGTCTATACCTCAAACGCCTCTGATTTTTGTTAATTGAATTGTTAGAATTATGGAGATCCTAGGAACAGTGTCATATGATTTGTTTATTTTAAGGTAAAATACATTTTGGCTCCCAAATTAATGACCATCATTAACCCTACACAAAATGCTCTTCCATGCTCTTATAGCACACTTTATCCCTCTACTTTATCATTTACCACAGCATATTAAAATTGTCTCTTTATTTGTTTATCTCTCCCACTACATTTTAAGCTACTTGAGGGTAGATACCATGCCTTAGTCACAACAATATTGTTAGCATCTGGTCCCTGCCAGCCCATTAGAGATTAACAATCGATGTTATTAAAAAGAGAAGCTCTGCAATGTGGTATTACAACAACAGATGCTGGAACCAAATTATCTAAGGTTGCCTGAACTGTATGAACTCAGGCAAGTTACCTAACTACTCTGCCTGAGGTTCCTCTTCTGTAGAATAGGGATAGTAAAAATATATACCTTGTAGGATTGTTGTTAGAATTAAATGAATTAATTAATAAATACAAAATGCTTATAACAGTGTGCTCTATTCACCATATATAGTAAATATACAGGAAACTTATGTGACCAAAGCATTTGTACCCCTGTAATATTGTGAAATTAAAAAATAAAATAAATAAATACATATAATTAGTAGCACTTACTTAATAAATGTTAGCTTTCATTAAGCTGGAAAATCGTGTGGCTCTTTCACATGTACAAGCTAACTAATTCTGACGCAGGCTGAGTTATCTTTAGATCAGACATTCTGTTTAAAAGATGATAAGTATGTACCTGCCTGACACCATTCACCTTTCTGGCAGACTTAATTCCCCAGGAAGCCACTACCAGCTCATTAGTGTTCACACAAAACATGAAAAATTGTCTGCCACTCTTGTTCTCATTCCTAGCTCTTAGGCCCAGATTGCAAACAAACTTGGACTAGGACAAGGTAGCTAGAGTCAGGTGTGTAAATGGAAGGTCAAAAGAGAGTCAGGGTCGGTTGGTCCAGGACTGAAGCTTCAAACAAGCTTGAGTTACCTGCAGATTTGAGACCAAGCCACCATTTGGATCTCAGTTAACCTGCTGACTAAACCACTGGGCACAGCCTCACCTTGTGGAACTGTGGAGGGTATATTCGGGCAGCCCCGTGGTTCAGCAGTAGCTGGTAGCAGATCTCAGGCTGGGCGGCAGGTCGCACGGAGGTGACCTTCAGCACATACTGGATGGCAGCACAGCCGTTGATATCCATGAGATTGGCTTCGGCGCCGGCTTCCAGCATCATGTGCATGAGCACGTGGTCGCAGTTCCAGGCCGCCTTGTGGAGGGGAGATTTAAAGTCGTCATCCCGGGCGTTAACCTCGGCTTTGTAGTCGAGCAGCATGCGGCAGATGAGATGGTGCTCCCTGCTATACTCCTGCTCTTTAAAACGGAGGGCCCAGTAGGTCGCGATGGCCAGCGGGGTCTCCATGTGGGCGTTCACGCTGTCCACTATGGCCCCGTGCTCCACGTAGAAGGCCACCAGCTCCGAGAGGCCGAAGTGGGCAGCCGTGTGCAAGGGCGTCTCCTCATCTTGATTGTTGGTCTTCATATTCACGTTCGCCCCTGTGAAGAGTAATCGAGGAAGACAATGATTGAAACATTTTGTCACTGTTCCCAGAGTTCATTAAACAAGACTTTTCTCCCTGATTCTCTTTTAACTTCTTCCCTGCATCCCCAGGTTCCATTTCTGGGCCTTGTGGAAGTCACTCCTTTGAAACAACAGTGTCATTTCCTGGACAGCCAGAAAATGTGCCCAGAGAAGAACAAAGGATTTCTGCCAGGAAAGCTGGAACATTTCTGAATTTCAGTTCTTACTCCCAGGTGGATTTGGAAATAACAAGTGATTTCTATAACTAAATAGCTTTTATCAATAAAATAGGAAATGTCATTAAAAATCAATGTTATATCTCAACTTTTGAAGCTCACAAAAGTGGCTTTTAAAATCATCAATTGTTTTGAATGTTTCACAAAATAATGTTTTTCTTCTCTTTCAAAGTAGGTGAACCTGAAAGGTGGTGCAACTAAACTCCAGTAGTATGGAAATTGCCAGCCCTTTGGCTAAAATTACAGTATAAGGGTAGCCTAAGTCTATGAGGCTTCCTCGGAACATACAATGATAAACACCTGCTCACACAAAATTTAGCCACCAAACTAGCCTAAAGGTCATAGTTTTCATTGAAAGGGGTACAAGCAGTATAATAGAAATACTCATTGAAGGAAAGAAAATGACTTAGAGACTGTAACATGTTTGATTTATGGTTGACAAGGATGTTAGAAAATAGGAATTTTGTGCTTGGAAAGCTCCCTAGAAATTACTTAATCCAACCTGCTTATTTAACAGACCAGGAAACTGAAGTGAATTTTATTTTTCTGATTTGGAATGTTAAGTACTAGAATGGTCAAACTGAGAAGCAGAAATTTTCCTTCTCTGCCTAATTTAATGGGTTGAACCAAATGATGCCTAGGGGCCAACTCTATAATCGATTCGACTAGAAATGTTTATAGGGACTTCAAGTACAAATACAAAGAGACGTTTATTATTATTATTATTTTGCCAGTAATATTTATTAAGCATTTAATCATATGCAACACTCTGAGTTAAATGCTTTTCATACCTTGCCTCATTGAATATTCCCAGCAACCCTTTGCACTAGGTGCAGTTTTTAGCCTAATTTTACAAACGAAGAAATTTATACTTGGATTAATAACCGGCCAAAAGTACACCAAGCTAGTAAGCAGTAGAACCAAGGTTTGAAAACAAACAGCCTGGCTTTAAAATTCCTTCTCACTCTTCTATTCTACCTCATTAGTAGTTTTCTGGAGGAAATTTTTTCTGTAATTTGTCAGTATATGAAAACTAGAAAGTAGTAGAAAAATAACACTGCATTTTGTTAATTTTAAAATCTGTTCTCAGTATATGGCTCCTTTATGCCCTTACTTATGGCATCCCTGATCATATGGAACATATTTGAAAAAGGCAATAATCCTACAAGCATGTTCAGTATCCTGTATACAGGGGTCCCCAAACTATGGTGAGTTGTATAATTATTTCATTATATATTACAATGTAATAATAATAGAAATAAAGTGCACAATAAATGTAATGCGCTTGAATCATCCCGAAATCATCCCCCCTGCCCCCAGTCCGCGGAAAAATTGTCTTCCGTGAAAACAGTCCCTGGTGCCAAAAAGATTGGGGACCACTGCGAAATCAACTCCCTTAGTGAGGTTTCCAAGAACACATTGCTCTGTAAACTCCGAGAATGTCTGGATTCCTAAGTGCAGAAAGTAGAATTGCAACCAAAGATCGTCTTTCACGGAGCCATCTGTGTTCATCAGCATTCTGCCCTGGAGTTCAGATCTCATTTCAGTTCAGCTATTCTTTGCTCTAGAGTGAAATGGAATGAATGAGAACATCTTCCCAGAAGCCATGTACAGGGTCACTTCAGACACTGGAGAATTTCCAGTAAGGAAAAAAATCAAAGGGTCGAGATGAAATTTTTACAGGCCAACTTGGAACAAACCACATTCTTTATTTTTTAACGTCCTTAGACATTTACAATTGATCCTTGACCTCATGGTACAACTAGATATGCTACATAGCTTCCTTTTCTGAATAGGAGCTCCTTATTTTTATGCTTGAATTGCGTCTTGCAGTATTTTTCCAGGGAATATATTAAGTAGGATGATTTGACTATTTTTTTGATTTTAGATTTTGTGATTTATTCAAGAAATTAGAGACTGGAAACATAGATTCTTGGGACCTTTTAAAAAATTTTTTTAATGTGAAAATGCAATGTATTTGTTTCTAAGAGCTGTGGTAACAAAGTACCACACAGAAGGTAGTTTAAAACAAGAGAAATTTATTCTTCCACAGTTCTGGGGACTAGAAGTCCAAAATTAAGGTGTCTGGGTTTGGTTCCTTCTGAGGACTTTTTTTGGGTGGTCTGTCTCTATCGCCCAGGCTGGGGTGCAATGGCACGATCGCAGCTCACTGTAACCTGTTCTGAGGACTTCGAAGGAGAATCTGTCTCATACCTCTCTCGGCTTCTGGTGACGGCTGCCAATCCTTGGTGTTCCTTGCTTTGTAGATATATCCCTCCAATCCCTACCTCTGCCATCTTCACATGGCATTCTCTCTGTGTCTCTGTGTCTTCACATGGCTGTCTTCTTCTAAGGACACCAGTTATACTGCAATACGGACCCACCCTACTCCAGTTTAAGAAATTACATCTGCAACAATGCTATTTCCAAACACATTATATGCTGAGGTATTGGCAATTAGGACTTCAACATATCTTGTGTGTGTGTTTGTTTGTGTGTGTAGAAGGGGGTACAACTCAACCCATAACATATAATATATATTACATAATATGTGGAAATACATATGTGCAGTTTCAAAAAGTTACTGTACAGCCATTACCTATATAATCATATCCCAAATCAAGAAATCAAACACTCGTAGACACAGAGAAGCCCTCCACTTTCCTACTATCTTTCCCATCACAACTCCTCTGTCCTACCAGAGGTAACTATTGCTTGACTATTAAAACAATAAGGTCTTTGCATTTCTTTATAATTTTACCACTTTTGTCTATAACTCTAAACAAGATAGTTTAGTTTCATTAATTTTTGAACTTTGAATAAATGGAATCATAGACACATTCTTTTATGACTTGCTTCTTTCACTCAACATTATGTTGATGAAAATAATCTATGTTGTGATATTTAGCTTCCATTTGTTTATTTTATTATATCTCTTTCTTAACATGAGTAATCCACAATTTATCCATTCTACTGGAGATGGATATTTACAGTTTTAGGCTATTCCAAACACGGCTGCCCCAAGCATTCCTGTGCATTTTTGTACCCTGGTGCTCATGCGCTGGGGTTTCTGTGGGTTCTACACCTGCAAGTAGCAATGCTGGGTCATTGGGTGTGCACATCTTCAAGTTCATTAGCTAGTGTCAAACAAGGACGTGTACCAATTTACACTCTGATAAGCTACGTGTGACGGTTCTCACTGTGCCACATCGTGGTCAACATTGGTATTTCAGTCTATTTAATTTTAGCCAATCTGGTGGGTGCGTAGTGATACCTCATTGTGTTTGAATGGTTTCCCCAATTACCAATTAAGTTAGAATTATTTTAATATTTTTATTGACCAACATTGCTTTTTTAATTTCTGTTGTAAGTATTTCCATGTTATTATATGATCATTTTAAACATCATTTTAAAATAACTACTCCATAGAGTAAATTTACCCTACTGTTGGATGGGAAATTTTTTTTCCAAAATTTTGATCTTATAACTAATGCTACAAATAATAATTTTATATGTAAATTTTAGGATTACTTCCTTGCAATAAATTTCCCCAAAATAGAATTATTAAGCTAAAATATTTGAACCATGATAAGGGTCTTTATGAATAATTGCCAAAAGTTATATCTTTCTCATTGATGCACAAGACTAGCTATTTCACTCACCAGTATATTATACATTTTTAAAAAATTC